ATGCGACACTAAAACTGAGACCTTTGCTAGTGTTGGGTTGTCTCAATGGTGACGACCGTGTTGTAAATCCGATACAACAATAGTGGTTGTATCAGATTTACAAGGTCAATCACCTGATTAAATGGTCAGCCCTTATTGGAGCAATAGCTTATACATTATTAATAAGTTTTATAATTTTATTAACTCTTTAGATAATATTTGTTGAGGAGATTCTGCAGCATATTGTCTAGTGGCATTTATTAGCGATTCTTTTTAATTATCTGAAAATCCAATATTTCTAGTAAACTATTATCAACATCATTGTCATAGTGAATCTCCATTTAAAAGGCATGTTTACGCCAATAAGGTAATTCTATTTTTTAGAGCAGGTCCATAATCATGCATTTAAAGATGAAACAGTCTTTGGTCATCCTATTTTAATACTAAGCTATCTGCTGTTAAAATTGGTGGAGTCTAGCGGTAAACTAGTGTAAGCTGCGTCGGTGTTTCTAAAGAGACGGTTGTGTAAAAAGAAATATCAAACAATTGCTTCGGAGAAAAATTCATTCGTTTGCCAAACTTACTTACAATTTTCAGAGAAATTGCTTTTAAGCATGTCTGCCATTATAAATTTGTCCTAGTCTCCCCCCATCCTTGAAAATAAGGGATCCCACAAAAAAACACAGATATCCCGCACGCGAATGTTAGACAATTGTTTGATATGTAAATTTCACACCGTAAAAAATAGGTAAAACAACCTACTAACGTTTCTGACCTTAATCCTTCGTTGGAGTCTTTATAAAGCTTAGCTTCATCGTTTAGCCCAAACAAAGTGAGTATAATCTGATACACAGTTTAGGGAGAATATCCGAAAAAGGTTGTGGTGTACTTTCTCTATTTCTAGTAACTTATCTGAAATGTTTTATTTCCAACATATCTTGAGGAAGTCTATTGGTTTTGGTAGGATCGTTTGATCTGCACCAATTCAACGTCTGTTTGCCTTTTGTTCTTGTCTTCCGTTCGTTTACCAGATTCATTTAAAGACCGTCTCTTCGCTCTCAATTCTGTGAGAACAATTATCATTATTAGGTCACACATTTGCACTTTAAATGAACAGTTCTTTATTAAAACAATCAAGTTTTAGATGGTCATGGAATACGTGATTTTAGCTACTTTTATGAATTCGTGTTATAATGTTCTCCTTCACGGTTACCTGCGCCATCTTGAAAGGTAGCCATGCCTTTGCATCGAAGCGAGACGACCGTTGAGCTTGCAATGATAGAAACCTTCTTTCACACCTACAGACAATTATTAACAGGTTTCTATCATTGCACTCTCAACAGTCGTCTCGCTTCGATGCAAAGGCATGCCTACCTTTCAAGATGGCGCAAAAAGTGACTATTCCGACCTCGACACACTTTGAGTTTGCTCTATGCCTTATTTAGAGTTCCTAACCTGAAATTGCACCTGAAATGGCTGATGACCATTGCATGAATGCTTTCTTTGCTTGCGGTGTTGCAAATGTATACAAGATAGGATTAATGGAGGAATTCACTGGAAGAATAAAAACAGCCATCACCGCATACACTTGTCCCGTTGGATCCTTAAAATGACCAGTGAGAGACAAAAGACCGAGCACGATTACCGGCATCCAGCAAAAAAAGTCAGTAAGGACAATAAACATGATTCGTGTCCCCAAAGATGAAGGCTCTCTCGTTGACTGGACTTTTTTGGCAGACTTTTTGACCTTTATGAATATAGCTACATAAGCAACAAAGATGAATAAGAAAGCAGCGCCATTGAAGGCCATGAAAACAGCAACGGAGTACTCCCATCCTGCAGGTTGCTCTGAGGAAAGTTGAAATGCAAGGCAAACAGTCGATCGTCCATAGAATGAGAAACCGGTCGTTTCATCGATGAAGTAGCTTGTGGCAAASAGTGGAGTGAAGGCAATGGCTATTCCAATAATCCAAACGACAGAGCAAACGCAGTAAGCAGKTTTCAAGCTCAACCGTTTGCCTCTGAAGTCAAACACAATTGTACTGAATCGGTCTCCTGTCAAGAGCACTAGCATCATCACTGACACTTCGCTGGATAGAGTTGAAATTGCTCCTGCTATTTGACAAGAGATACCGGTTCGCCATTCGACGTCATGATCCACGTATTCCCCTTTCCACAAGATATCTTGTATCGCTATGAAAAGCAAATAGATGCCCATAAGAAAGTCAGCCAAAGCCAGATTCCTCAATAGTAATGACTGCACGCTGGACTTTTTCGACACATTTGGAGACTTCTTCCTGTCTTGAATCGTCCACCATAAGATGACAGCAAAATTACCAAAGGAAGCAARSAAGCCTTGTATCCAAATACCAACTCGAATAGCAGTGCGCTTCAGCATGTCCTCGCARCTTGAAAAACTATTTGCTTGTGATTCACACGTCTTTAGATTTGGAATAGTCTTTTTGGCATAACAACAAAGCATAAAGCTGTCCATTGTGCTGTTGATGAACAAAATGTGATTCTTAATCATAGATAGATATCCTTTATTTATCCACGGTAAAAAAAATCATCAGCTATATACAAAATCAATTAAATAACTTCTATTTATAAAATATATATGGCAGCAGCTCCATCTAGTGAAGTTGGAAAGAAACAGGATGTTTTTCAACAATTACTACGCCTCTATAACTTCMAGGCTTTGAAAACTGCAAATATCATTGCCATTAAAACTTTTACCGACCAACTCACCCCAGCTTATTTTGTCCTTGAAAGGACACAGAAAAGCATCTCACGAATGGAAAATTTAATCTAGCAAATTTCACAAATAGCTAAAAAATGACCTTTTAAGTACAAAGCATTTTTACTTTAAATCACGATTCGTTTGTTGCCTTTTAACTTACAGGTATTTGAGGTTTTTCAATTCTGAAAAGACGTCACGAGGTACTTTTGATTCCTTTATGGTGTTATTGTTGAGTGTTCTGAAAGACAAAATCACTCAGATTAGGAGCCATATTGAAGTCAAATGTAGATAAAAATATTAAAAYTATATGTTGGCATGAATACATACAATTTTTCAAGCATTGAAAGTCCTCTGAACGATGATTTGGTTAACGTTTCCAGCTTGTTGTCATGTAGTTGTCTTAAAAACGAGAAGTTAAGCTATTAAATTGATTGGATACGTTGGACCGAAACAGATAAGATAATCAGGCAGTAAGATATTTGAAACACAGCAATCTGGACCGCAGTCAACGATACGATAGGTTCGGTTTCTACTGCATTCACAGTCAGTATCATCCTTTCCTCGCAATAAAATAAATTAAGAAASGAAATATAGATACGTGACAACAACAAAGACAAAAACAAAGGAGTTTCTTGCCAGRACACTGGACCACTTTCTCATCAACAACTGGACCGTGCATTCTAAAACTTGTCGTCATGCCCCTGCATAGGCATATTATAGTTCATAACCATTTATCACCGATATTTTGAAATAAGCACTGGTTGCCTGACAGACCACTAATAACAATTCATCCACAACAGAAATAGAATGTCTTTTTTTATTTTTTGGTGAGACCAGTCCTACTGCCAATAACACAACACTACTCAAAGCATTGCTCAAACTACTCAACTGAAATAACTTTTTACCGATAAGATCATGGTGACTAGAATACTTCTTGGACTTAGACGTACTTACAGCGCTTTAAGCTTTCTTAGGTTACGGAAGAGTCCATCAGGGATTTTTGGAATCGCATTACTATGCAGATATCTATCAAATGTAAATAAGAAGAAAAAAGACGTCCATAAAACATTTTATATGTTTTTTTTGTGGTTAATTTTCACTACGAAGCTAAGGCGTGCACATCGCTAAGTTTGCCAGCCACAATTTGCTGTTTAAGTTGAACTATTTTTTGTGTGTATTTCATTTAATTCTCCGCATTAATACAACATTGCAACTTGCCAGCACTGTCTTTAGAGAGACAGCACTACTGAACAGAGACAGCACTCATTAGCTTAGGTTCGTACGATTATTCATGTATTCATACACATGTATTTCACTGAACATCGTCCTGGAGAACGTCGAGCAGCCATTGTCGAAGGGAGTATGAGCGGTTATTTGTTAAGCACAAAACATACACGTGATCCTTGTCGCCCAATAACTCGAGCGTAATAATAAAGGAATGCCTCGCTCCTTGACTGTTCTTTAATTGAGATAGTGAATCTGTTTTGTGGATATTTTTGGATTGTATATTTAAGTTGTTCGAGTTATTTGAAAACGTTCACCTTATTCTTGTTGACCAAAACTCGAATTCAGTAATAAAGGAATGCTTCCTTTCTTCGCGAATTTGTTGTTACGATTTTTCGATGAGATAATAAAGCTGTTATGAGTAAATGAAACTTTCGAAAAGAGGAACATTGTGAACAAACATTGTGAGAAACACCCTTAGGAATAAATCCTCATATTCATAACTTTACATTGTTCTATTACCACAACACCTAACATCTATTTCACCCGACCTGCTCCCAGTCTGGTCTTGTAGCTTAGCTGGTAGAGCATCGGTAGTACAAATCTGAAGTTCGTGTGTTCGAATCCCAGTATATAATGTCGGAAACTGATTTTTCCGAATTTATTCCTAAGGGTCTTTCTCCCGGAAATGCCTCCTTCTAAGCACTATAACTTTCTTTCATTTCTATAGAGTGGTTTTCCGTCAACCATGAAAGCACAATAAGTCTAATAGTTAGTAGTAGTTTGTAATAGACCAATACTAATAATCTAATAATCTACTAATAATCAATCTATCCGATTGATAGGTATCAACATATCCATCACAAAAACAAGTTTTTTATGTTAATTTTAGTGGTTAGCTATTTGTCTATATGTCTAAAAGGTGTATTGACTATTACTAATTGCTACTAACTAGTTGGTCTATTTTTCTTTTCATGGTTGACGGAAAACCACTCTATCGTGTCTATCATAGCGCTATGCGGTCCTCATATTCATATAATAAATGTGACCGACGTGTCTCATTTGACATCTAATTATTACTTTAGTACTCAGTAAGACAGGTATACCAAAAATGTATTTAAATATTTCACTGGAATCCATTAGAATCCAGTCGTGTATACTAGACATGTATGGAATTTTCACGTGTTTTTCGACAATTGCCATAAGCCGTTCTCTCCGTCAACTTTTTTGGAAATAGGAGTATGACATAATTCTATCATTCAATATTTTTTTCGCTAATAAAATGCTGATGCATCTTTAACCTGAAAATGTCTTTTTGTACAGTTTATAATAAAACTGTTTGCAGGGGTGGATCCCGTGGTTATGCAAAATTTCTGTGTTCATTAACCTCCAGAGTCGGTCGCAGCAAGGGTTCCGGTGGCATGGCCCACCAGGAAAATTTTGAATCTTAAATCAACGAAACGCGATTTTCAGCATTTTGAGGGAGTTTGAAGACATTTATTACTTCTTTTTTGCTTTCCTCTTTTTGGCCACTTCTTATTCGAGGGGTCGGGGGGAGGCGCGGACTTCCAAAATAAGCCCTTGGTTTGATTTTTTTTTACTTACAGAGACATCAATTGCGTATTGTTCTGAAAAGTATTCACGTCAAGAAACTTGATGAGGTTGTCACGAAGACTTCTAAAAACAAAAACATAAATTAAAAAAATCCCACACACACAAGGTGATGTTAATGATGATAAACAGGAACTTACAATACTTTCAAATCTCGTAAATTGGAAAAAATCTGACTCCCAATGCTCGATATTAAATTGTCTCCAATATCTCTGAAAAACAATGAGATCCAGAATGATTAATATGCAGTATGGACAGTCCATCTTACTACCGCTAAAGGCAAGAACACGCCATTGTAATGAACAGTTTTGTACATCATTAGGCACTATGTTGACTTATTAAATTAAAAAAAAGTTAGACATTCTGGTAGTAGAAACAGATAGCCGGTTATACAATAGTAGACGCGTGCTGTCAGCAACCCTACGTGCAAGCGTATGTAAGATGTGTCTGTAATATAGCACTTGAGTAGTGCGTTGAGCTCGCAATTCAGCACACGTTCTGCTAGGACAATTAGCACCCTTTTCATTTTTCTTTTATGCTATAAAGCACTTTTTAAGCCTTCCATTCTTTTAAAGGTCCACCAGCATCCCTTTCGAGCTTTTGCTCATTTTTTTAAAATAAAACATCGTAATATAAGCAAAACCATACACTCTATTATGAAAGCGATGGATGGAAACGGATCGCGAAATGGATTGAATGCTGGTGTACCATTTCCTTTTAGGAAGTTCCATTCCTTTGTTACAAAATACAGAATTTTCAAGCTAGTATATGGCAATATATATTTCTATTAGTCCAGAATACTTGATTGGTTAATGTGACATACAATCAGCCCATCAAACAGAGTACGTGGTCAATTGAACGATATTTAATCCGATCATGTACTTACAGGTTTTGTAGTGTTTCGACTGCGTCCCATGTTTCGCTTTCTATTTCTCTCATGAAATTCATGTTGAGCCGCCTAAGAAAACATTGGAAATTATTAAAATTACAATCATTAAAAACCTGCATTTAATGCGGTTGTGGTTAATTGTTTTGCGTCATATTATACATGTACTTACAAAGTATGAAGCGATGGAAGAGTGGAGAACGATTTTCGATCCATGTGGATCAGCCTATTATAACTCAGGTCTCTAAGATTAAGTAATAACGTGTTACTTTTATGGACACTCAACGTGATGTCTACTAACAATTCAAATGTCCTAACAAATAGTATAAAATAAGAAAAAAATACAATAAATAAGTGTACAACTGAACCGTCTTATATTTAGGGAGAGGCCTCCAGAATATTGAAACTCTCTAAAGTCTTAAAAGGTAAACGTATTTTTTCGAAGTGCCTAGAAGCCATCACAACACCAAAAATGCTTTGAAGAACAATTGACAACCACTTTCTCATCCTTATTTCAAAATACTGCTAAACATAATGATGATGTTATTTTGAAGGGTGGATCGCGGTATGAACCATTATATTAGCGAATTACCATCAAGGCATTTTAATTTTAAATAAAACAATATAATGTCAACGTACATTAAAGACATATATTGCAGATTCTTGAAGGTCTTGCTATCTATCCGAAAAATTTTATTTCCAGGGAATAAGCTGAAAAAGGTTATGATCAGTAAACGATTAAACAAAAAATAATTGCTATCCATTATAATTGTTAGTGAATGAATTGGAATATCAATTGTAAGACTTTAAGCATCGGCGACGCAATAAGGCTGGTAAATTGATTCACCAAAGAGCAAAAGATGGAAATCACTGACTACGAGATGTGATCATGATGCGATAATTCCCGCCGAGGTGGATACTAGTAGTGCTTATGTTTTTCCCCACTCTCTCAATAGTCAAAAGTCGGTTACTTGACGCAATAGTAGCCGCTACGGAGCTGTGCTATTAGTGCATAGAGACCGCAGCATCAGTTTTTTTTTGAAAAAAAAAAAAAAAAAAAATACAGCAGTAATTGATTAATTCTCCGGTATTTTGTTGTGATATTTGATCTTGGAAACTAGATATTCGTCAAATCTTCATAATTTTATTTATTATTCGGAACATCCAGTTTCTGCGTGAGACCACCGCAACATAATGGCCTCGATTAAACTACTCTACTGCTTAAATAGGTATCAAATAAATAGCTCACACGACAGCTGTTTGCAGAGGAAGTTGACCAGGAACTGAATTAAGACTTCGGGATGAGACTACTACTCTGCCATCTGACAGCCTTCGACATTCACATTCAGCTGGGCAATCTAAAACAAATATGCAATATCCAATTATTATCAAAACTGTTAGTAAGAGTCATGAGAAGAAAATCATTTATCAAAATTTACCTTGCAAACATTCTTTATTGGTGTCATCATCTGTAACAAATATCAAGACGCAAGCTTTGGAATTTCTCTCTATCAATCAATACAAATTGATCAACCGGCCAAAGAACCAACCAACAAACCAACCAATGAAACAACCATTTAGCCAGATAACAAAGCAATGAATCAAAGGAATAATACCTGTAAATATCTATATAAGAAGCTAAGTTGTATACTGTTTATTTGAATAAAAGGTTTATAACAGTATCAACAAGTTTTACCCATTGAAAGGAGATGCAAGGAACGGTTACAAAAGGAGGCAGCGAAACAACCATGAATAGAGGCAAATAATGTTTGAATAATAAGATGGAATACAATTAACCTATATATAGTACCTTTCAGGATTCGGTAACGTGCCATAAACCCTGCGCGGGTGATCCTCGCATTTGAATGAAATAGCACAGAAAATTGGTTGGTGGTTGACTGAATGATAGGTGGATACCTGGAACAAGATTAGCGACTGTGAGAAAAAACTTTCTTTCTCTATAGAAGCCTTACACAAACAATACAATGTCTGATAGCTTGGTGGTATAATCTTACCTCACACCACAATATCTACCGATTCGTGTCTCGCCATCATAGACCTCTACGTAGTCATTTTCACATCGCGTGCTCATTTCCAGCTCAAACTCATCGATATCTAGTCGAATCACGTGACCTTGCTTTGCTTTGATGGTCGAGTTGCARGTGGCGTTGTTGCTGTAGTAACTAGGATAGTAGGGTGACATGATGAKGCCAGATGAGTTTGTAAATATTTCATTACAGACTGAGAAAAAAATCAAATGCTCATTTATATATATGTTTAAAAAAAACGAATTGTAGATTAATTTAAAATATACCAACATTATATCATTATTAAAGAAACCATTAGTTGTTGTTTTTTTTCAAATATATACACCACTTAAAAATGGCATCAGGCCACGAGCGCCAATTGTGCTTATTGCGCCCTAGTAGGACGCCATTTTAACTTTACTACATCTACTGTGGACTGCCTTTGAGAACTTGTGTTCCCGTTTCGTCTATTGTGCTCCGGTCGGCGTGACATATTGCGCATTTTAGTTTTGAAAGTCGTGTACTAATTTGTATTAAAGAAAAAGCCTTGTCATTTGCGGCAGACTTCAGTATTTCATATTGAAAATTACCACAACCTCAAGCAACGAATCCATTTTGATAATAAATACTGTGTGAAAACGCTGCCAAGGAAACGATGCGAGCCAGTTGTGCTACCTCCAATACTAATCGCGCAACAGCTGAATCCAAGAAGTCTCATTGAAATATATGGAAGATCTGAGATATTTGAGCAAAAAAGTTAACCTATAATTTACCTTTATTTGAAGTAATAGGCAAAATAGCACAATACCCATCAGTAGTATACAGTGCTCCTATTGATATGAGGGCCGGTGCATTGGACACTTCACCTTCGATGGCAATCTAAATACATCCAGACAACAACTGTTAAAAGTCTGACATATCAATCCTATCACCTGATTTACTATTATAATACACTAATCCACGTATAGCTAAGAAATCTAAATTTTAGCTACTTCATGATATAAAAGTCAAAAGAAAAAACTTCGTGAATTGTTTCTTTGATGGGTTTTAATCAGACGATTGTACGAATAAACTTCCGTGCTTTTATCCGTCATTCCTTTTTGCAGCATTTCTTTAATAGCAGTATAAAAACTTTAAGTACAACACTTGATACCTGATAACCAGTCACAGCCGAAAGAGTGACTTGACCTTCTTTCCAATCACTCGAGCTGCTATCTTCATCAATCCATATTTGCCTCCATGGGAACATTTTGTCATCTAAGATTTGGTATAATTTCAGGACCTTTGCTCCGGGGCCCCACAGACGATATTGGAATCTTAGGCATTTTGCAGGTGATTTGACCCACCCAAGTGGTAAGTGATATCGAGGACTCATAATAACTGCCTTTTCTGATGATGTTGTTGTCTTGCTTGACACAACGCTAAGGACGTTTCCTGGAATGGCCAAATTAAAAAAACATTATGTTCATTGCTATAGTTTTGACTACTCATTAATACTTTAACTCTAGAAGGTACACCTACGAGGCCAGATCCCACTCACTGGAAAAAATCGAGCAATTCAAAGGTTGTAAATTTGATGTAAATATGTTGTAAGTGTCCAAATGTGCAACACATTTACATCAAACTTACATCATATTGGACACTTACCTCATATTTCCACTAAATTTACAACCTTTAAGTGCACAATTCAATTTTTTTCCAATGACTGCGAATTAGCATAAGTAAACCAAACCCTAAAAAACAACAATAATAACAGCAAAACACACACAAAAAATAACAAAAAAGCAATAACAAAAAAATAGTGATAATATACATAGCCTTTTTAACTTAATGTCTTTTAAACATAATTTTATATATACAATATTTATTTATATGAGGGCCACCTGAAAATTATCGTTTTACGGTAACGGTGTTTACCCTGACTAATAAAGTTGTTATTATTATTAAAGCAAATCAAAGCAAAGAAGAATTAATAGATTAATGGGATAAGAGCCTATGAATTAATGAAGAAGGAAAAAACGAAGATATTTTAATTCCTTTGTTCATTCTTTCGTCTTTAATTTTTTTCTTTTTTTGCATTATGTTAATATGTGCTTTTCATTTTGTCGATGCACGTCTTTCGTTCTTGTCTTTTCTTTTGTTCTCGCTCGCCTTCTTGTTCTTTCTTCTTATGTCGCAGTCGGTGAACCGGTCCAAGTAAATTACATAAAATTGAGTCATGCATCGCATGTTTGACTAGCTTACCTTGTCTGCCTTTACAAGATGTTCTTTCATTGTAATTAACTGTTGAGTTTGAAGTGGTAACTATGGAAATATTCTTAATAAACTCTTCCCAGATAACCATATTTCCT